AATTCAAGTCGGGAGATTTGTCTCTCCATGATGAGCCTCGCAATGGAGGACCACAGGTCTTGAATGACGGAGTCCTAAAGGCAGCCATTGAAGAGGACAGTAGTCTAACGTGTGGTGAACTTGCAAGACAGTTCAACGTTTCCGATGAAACAGCTAGACTTCACCTGCACCGCCTAGGTAAGATGTACAAACTGAGCAAGTGGGTTCCGCAAACGCTGTTGGAGGTCCACAAGGACAACGAGTGGCAGCCTGCGTATCGCCATTTTTATACCGTACCGCATCCTTATTCAATCGAGTGCTTACCAGTGATGAAACTCCCAAGCGTTCCAGACATTGGTTGTCTCCTCAGGATGCTGTCCCTCATACCGCAAGACCTCCTATGCACCCACGCAAGATTATGCTTTGTGTCTTGTGGACAGGTAGTCAAGTGGTTCATTATGAACTGCTACCAACGGGCCAAACGGCCACTGGAGACCTATACTCGCAGCAATTGAAACGTGTGCAACAGGCATTGCGCCAGAAGGAGACAGCACTGGTGAATCGCAAAGGTGTGCTTTTCCTCCATGACAATGCCAGGCCGCATGTCGCGCGAGTGGTCAGGGATACCATACAGCAACTTGGGTAGGAGACTTTGTGCCATCCACCTTATTCACCTGACCTTGCGCCATCCGATTACAACCTCTTCCACTCGAAGATAATCATCTTCGTGGGAAATCCTTCACCAATGAAGCAGACTTGTGCAAAGCCCTCACGGACTTCTTTGCGTCAACCCCCCCCCCCCCCCGAGTTCTACAGCAAGGGCATTGAACAGCTGGAGACACGTTGGCAGAAGGTGCTGGATGCCGATGGCGATTACTTCGAAGACTAAATATAAGTTACACATACTGTGAAGCGTTTTCTTTTTTTCTTTTAAAAACGGACAGAACTTTTTTGGTTACCTTGTATCTAATTTCGCGAAATTCCAAAATTCTATGGCAACCAAGTCCTCTTGATTTGAAACATTCAGAAGCGTGTACACATGAATAAACCGCAGACAATTCCCCAACTCAAGCAAAACATCTAGACGATTATTTTTCATTTTATTTATTTTTTAATCACTTCCTCTCATCAAGTCGGGAATACCAGTAGTACGCAAGGGGATACAGAGAGTGAAAGAGAAAGAAAAAGGTGACCGAAGAAAGGATAAAAACTGAAGGGAGTTCAAGAAAACAGAAAATGGCGATTGTAGTTATCAAGGATGCAAGTAAACGTTAGCTCGCCAAAGCAGTTGCCATGAAAATATTTGTAGAAAAGACAGAGGGAAACCACATCACGTCGGTGAGAAAGTGACTGAAATCGAGATGACAAATCAGGATCGATTACAGTTTACAGCTAATTTGTTTAAATAATGAACTGATTATTATTTGCGTCACTTAGCACACATTGTAAGTAAAAGGATGCACTAAAATAATTAACCAAGTAATCGTTTTAAGTTCTCTGAACATCGGTACCTTTTAGTTTTCATTTTACGTCATGGCGTAACAACCGCAATGGCTGCTTCCTTCCGAAATGTAGGATCTTTGTGAGGGGTTGCGATAAATTTATTTTGGCAAAAAAAGAGGTCACGATTCAGTACTCTTTTTTTTTGTTTTTAAAGCGGTTCTCTTTGCTTTATTTACATTATTCGGACTATTATCCTCATCTTCATTGCCCTATTCACATTGTTTCGGCCGTTGTACTCTCCGGCCTTCTCGAGGTGATTGGAATTTAGAACCGAGCCCTTCATTTCGTCCACCGTGGTAAATTGTTTTAGTTCCACGTGCTATACCTCTTCAGGTTCTTCCGTTTGACACTAGGTTGATGTTACTTTGGCGCCGGTCTCTGCTAAAAAAAAAAGATTTTCTGCGGTCTTCAATAAAGTTTCCCTATGTCTCGACTATTATTTTCTTTCGTTTTTCGATGCGGAATTGTTACAAAAGACGGAGGGAAGCCACGACATGTCGGCGGGAAAGTGACTGAAGTCGAGATGCCAGGTCAGGATTGATTAAATAACAGACCCTTATTTGAATCTTCAATGCACGGACGAATATAGATATTTCTAAAGAATCGATGTATTTTATTTATTAATCCGACAGATTCTTTTGTGGAAAACCCATATTTCAGTAGATGCTCCATTTTTTTTTTTTTTACTAAACACTATATTTATTTTTATCTACCGGCCGGAGTATTACAATCCAATTACATCTTTAGCAAAGTGAAAAGTAAAGGTTACAAAACACTTCGAATTTTTGATTTGGAGTAGACCTTTCCCCAGGAACTAAAACAAATTAATGTTCTTTCATTACTTTTGAACAAGCGTTCATCGATTTATGACACAGGAGCATAGGGTTACAAAAAAGGTCCTGGCCTGATCTGGCGTCTCGTCTGCAGTCACTCTCTCAAAACGCGCCGTCGCCTCTCTCTGTCTTTTTCTACAAATACTTTCATGGTAATTGCTCCGATGAGCTGCTTTCACTGGTTCCCCAGACTCCATGAATTCAAGCGCCCTACGAGGCTGGCATCCCGCTCCCACCCTTACACTGTAGAAACTTTTTAAATGTAGCCGTCTCTTCTTCTCCAATAGCTTCATACCTCCTACCTCTCGCCTGTACAACACCCTTCCCTATTACTGTTTCCTGAGAGCTATAATCTCCAACTATTCAAAATGTAATGTCAATCGACATCTCCAGTTGCCTTGATCTACCCACCCTCTCCTCATCCTTTCCTCTATCACCCTATCTGTTCTCGCTCCAAATCTTCTGTAACCCCTGCACCCTAGTGGCTTCACGCCTTGCTAGGGCGTAATGTGGAAAAATATATATATATATATATATATATATATATATATATATATATATATATATTTTTATAAGCGCAAAAGACGTGAAACAAAATTATGGGTTTTTGTAAGGATCGAACTCACTACTCACTTGTAATTTTGTTCCAGGTAGACAAGCTTGCTAACCATAAGACCACATCGAGATGCCCAACCCTATTCAATTGTATGGATATGAGTTTCTTATGAATATGTTAGCTCTCTCACTGACATTGGAAGCACTTTCCACTAAGTACTACACATAAAAATTATATATATATATATATATATATATATATATATATATATATATATATATATATATATATATATAGAGAGAGAGAGAGAGAGAGAGAGAGAGAGTAAATTTATATTTTATATTATGTCTAAAAATTTCTATAAAAATATATTATGTCTAAAAATTAAAAAAAATTTAAAATTTAAGAGGTCAATTTGTCGGGCCTTTTAACTGAGTACGTTTAAACCTAAGTAAGCTGTTAAGTGTAGTTTTAAAAAAACACCCTTATCCCTATTTACATTTCTAAAATGGACCATTCCATAATCCTCCAACCACTTCTGTCACCTTATATCAATCTAAAACTATCCCTCAAAAATTGTATTAAAAATAACAGAAACCTAATCCTTTTGTAACTAGAGAGGTGACCTGATGAACCAGGAAAATATATTTTCTGGGCTAATAAATTATAGTCATGGAAAACTCAAGGTTGTCTAATTCTTAACTATTTAGTTATTTCATATATATATATATATATATATATATATATATATATATATATATATATATATATATGATTGTAATAAAAAGTAAAATTTAATATTACAAGACATATTAAACAATAAAAAAACACAACAACAATGGGGGAATTTCGAATCTCACGTTGAAGCCTGAAAGAGCAGGAGCGAAACCGGTTGCTTCCCCCCCCGTTGTTGTGTCTTTGTTTTTAGTTTGTTTTTTTATTGTTTAATATGTCTTGTAATATTAAATTTTATACTTTTATTTCGATCATTAAATTTTATACCTACAAAAATATCTTCATATATATATATATCTATATATATATATATATATATATATGTATGTATGTATGTATGTATGCTCCCGTTTGCCCATTAAGCACGATGGAGAAAAGGGAATTTTTATCGGCTGCTACTGCTTTAATTCATCGCTCTTTGTAAGAATTCAGCGCAATGGCGGCCAGTATGACATTTATATATCACGTATATAATGCGTTAAAAATTCCTTTCTCTTCCGTGCGCTGATAAAAGGTAAGAGTCTCTAACTGATGTCAAATCGGTCTAGTTTCGATCACGGATTGAGTCTGTATACACACACACACACACACACACACACACACACACACATATATATATATATATATAGTTTGAAGAAACAAAATAAACAAGAAAACTGAAATAATGGGTAAATGCAGGTATATAAATAAATACTTTGTCCTTTAGCACTAATTAAAACTAAACAAATAAATGTAAATAAAATAAACAAAGATAAACTTTAAATAGAAAGAACAAATACAATATAAACTTGATTTATTAGTAAATAAATAAAATAACAAATACTAAATATACACAGCTATACGCGTGTGCGTACATCTAAACGAATATATATATATATATATATATATATATATATATATATATATATATCCGGAACTTCGTTAAGTTGTGAAAAATATCATTAGCTTTAGGTAATATCACTAAAATATCAATTCTGTGCAAAAAATAGGATCACGCAGACAATTCACTTTCTTGCAAATATAGGACCCTACGAATTCGAAATTTCCCCATTAGCATTTATTCACCAATCGGCGATGTTATCTCAAACGCTGTTCGAGTTTTCAAAAAGTAGGTGGCAGGAATATCGTCTACAATGAAAAATTAAAAGCTCACGTTTAACAATATTTTCCACATAAAAACAGAAAATAAAATTGGGAAATATTTTTATTAACCAATAAACATTTAACTTCCTGTAATCAGATTTTTCTCATAAATAGCGTAACGTAAATAAAAAAAAAATACAAGTTTCCCAAACTAATTTTTTGCGTCCTCTAACTTTCGTAAAATTTAGTGAGTTCTAAGAAACTTCTTTCAAATAATTTTTTCAATTTTAAAATATTTCAGTGAAAAGCATATGAGTGAGATATATAAACAAAGCGAATTGTAGCAGCAGTACAAACCTCAACGTTGATAGCTGGCTTCTCTCCTGCTGGAATCATTCATTTTTTTTGTGTTGTAAATCAAAAAACAAAACAAAACATTTTTGAACTTTGTTGGCGAGCAACTTTGTAACTTCTTTATTTTAACTAAAAAGAAAACAAAAGATTATTTTATACTCAATAATAAAATTATTTAAATTTGTAGAGCTGTGTTTGAAGATTATTTCTTTTCTTCGCTTTTTACAGGATTTTTCCTCTACATATGCGTCATCAATAACTCCATAGTCTATGCATGAAAAATAATCCAAGAAATATTTATTTCTCAACATAATCTACTTTCTTGTTATTGCACTTAATCCAGTGGTGAATATTAATCCACAGATTTAACCTTATATAATGAAGACTTCTGATGCATGATTCAGCTAATAAATATGTGTCAAATTATATATCTCTTGATCCACTCGTTTATGTAAGCTCACGTGTGCGTACCCCACCATATATATATATATATATATATATATATATATGTTTGTGTGAGTGTGTGTGTCTTATTAAAGACGACTGACAACCCATTGCAATTAAGCTTTTTATTCATTTTTTCTCGAGTTCATATAAGCGTTTTCTTTTCTGAAGTGTTTAAAAATTGTAGCAAGCCACCTTAATTTTACGAGTGAATTTCTAATTAGACATAAAAATAGGTGTTATAAAAGATTTCTCGAGAGAGCACACAAGAATTCATTCTCTTGTGCGCTTTTCTTTAAAGAACTCAACAACGTGGAACAGACGCTAGTTAATAACGGTTTTCCGAACTGTCTCATTGATCACCAGATTAGACCTATTTCTTTCTGATGTAACCAATATCAATGCAATAACATTTTCTATAAAAACCAAATGTAAGTTAACTATAAGCATGATGAATTTTCTCTTAGAAATATTATATAGAAATACAGAACCCCACCCGAGTCGACAAGGACAAAAATATCTACTAGAAAAAAAATTAAAACAGCTAACCTTATCTTCAACAATAACAAATTACCTGCAAGATCTAAATTACAGAGAACCAATAATATTTATGAATTCACGACAACATTAAGGAACTGTGTTCCTGATCAAAGCAAATTCTTGAATAATTATATTGAACATAACTATCAAGAGGACACACGTTACATCCCTCTCTGACCATAGCTCAATTAGGACCCATTTAACCACACACGGAGACCTCCCAAACTCCATCTACAAGATATCCGTAGAAAATCCGACTACAGTAGCATCATCAACATGTAAAAGAAGGCTAAAAAATAAAGGAAGCATTAATAACAAAAACGAAAAGTCCAACACTCAATAATATCAACTATGAACACGGCCACAATGTGCTGACCATGTTTAGAAAAAACAAAACAAAAAAAGCACCCCCGTCACTATAGATACACATATATAAAAATCCAGTCTAAAAAAAACGAATAAACAAAAAATCCTTGATAATGACTAATAGAATAACCTGAAGGCGCTATATATATATATATATATATATATATATATATATATATATATTTATATATATATATATATATATATATATATATATATATTATATATATATATATAACATTCACACAGTACTATACACATTATGTCCAGAAGAGAAAAACTTAAACGAATACAAGAAAAATTGAATAAAACCTTAACAGTCGTGTCGATGAAATTTATATAAAAGAGCGATTGATGCCCACATACACAATTATATATATATATATATATATATATATATATATATGTGTGTGTTTGTGTATGTGTGTGCGCGCGTGCGTGTGTTTATGTATATATTGGAGGAAATAGATTGTAAATAACTTCTATCTACCCGAGAACTCATTAAGCACAAATACGTCGGTAATAGATATATAAAATAATTAATTGGACACCGTCTGTTTGATTCGAGGTGATTCGAGCGTATGCGTGTGTGCATATGTATGAGGGGTGCTGAAATCAATTTCAGATCAAACCATTTCTGTCTGAATTACAAGACATCACATTTTGGCAATGTTCGTCAGCAGGAATGAAATGCCTTACGAAAATTGATCTAAAGAGCGCATATCATAACATTTCAAATTGATGATAAATAAATAAGGAAATCACCACTATTAACTCCCCAGTCAATATACTTAGATGGACTCTTATTGCTTAATGGGGTGAAAACAGCAAGTGCCATCTTTCAAAAAGCAATAGAAAACCTTCTAAGAGGGGTCATTAAAAAAAATTCTGATAATATATCAAGATGGCGTAACCAATGAGGAAGAGATGAAACAAAAAGAAACAACCATATATTAAATAGATTAACGATATCTCGAATGGCTATAAACAAAGATAAATGTGTATTGTGAAAAAAAAATATTATATCTTGGGTATCAAATTTCAAATGACGTTATTTCGTCAGAACCAAGTATGACACAGAAAATATCAGAGGTGTCTTCTCTTAGCAATAAAAAATAATTGTAATCATTTTGGGTGTAGCGAATTTTTTTTCAAGTTGTGTAAAAAGAACAATAAACTATAATAATATATGATAACTTGAAAAGTAGTCTGGCAAAAAAACAAAAAAAATGTTATCAAGATTTTTTATCCACCTCCAAATCTACTTCTTCCAATATATATATATATATATATATATATATATATATATATATATATATAATTGTGTATGTGGGCATCAATCCCTCTTTTCTATAAATTTCATTGGACACGACTTACAAGGTTTGCGATTAAGCTTTTTCTTGTGTTCGTTTAAGTGTTTTTCTTTTCTGGTCATAAAGTGTATAGAACTGTGTGAGTGTTATATATATATATATATATATATATATATATATATATATATATATATATATATAGCAGTACAGACTGGGTTCTATAGCCTTGGATGGTAACTAGTCTAGAAGAAGGACAACTCTGAATTCAAAACCTGCGGAGGGTTGTTTGGGGACCTTGTGGCACTTAGTGCACCAGGTCTCTGTATTCGTCCCTTCAAAAAGTGTGGCTGGTCCTGCACGAAACCTTCACCACTATAATCAAATCACATGTGCTGTTATATATATATATGAATATCTATGAATATATGCTTTCAGTTATTCTATTAGCTATTATCAAGGATTTTTTATTGTATTTTTAAAATGGGTCTTTATATAGCTATCTATAGTCATGGAAATGTTTCTTTTTTTTCAAAACATGGTCAGCACATTTTTTTTTAGGTTGCTAGTAAAAATTCCATATCGGCAAAGTTAGCCCAGGAAGGACCCCCAATTATGTATTTTTCTAGAGCATTAAGATGCTCGAACCGTACTTTGGACCACTAGTAGGGCTTGTCAGTTTTTACTGGGTAGAACATTCTTTGTGAAGTCTGGTCATAAGACCTTAGAATTAATTTTTACCCGAGAAAAGAATTACCGAAACTTACAACTTAACATTGCCAACATTGTGTGAAAATTTTGGGTGAATTTATTCGACGGTTTTTGAAATATTAGAAAATAGTTATCTCGATAATAATTTGGCACGCAGTGTATATATATATATATATATATATATATATATATAAACAAATCACACACACACACATATGTAATACTTTTCATCAAAGAAAGTGTCTATAAATATTTAGTGAAAGTAAACGTTTCCATGCTTTGCCGATTACTTCATTTTCAGGAATACCTTTTGCTGTCAAAATAAATGATGTCATCATAATACCTGGAACATAATGCAATAATATAATCAAATAATGTAATGCCATTGAAGAATTTTTCAATATTCCAGTGTTGGAATCATTTTCATAATGAAATTCAGACAAAACTTTAGGGAAATGATAATAAATAAAATAAAAGAATAATAAAAGTGGGGGGGAAGAAAAAAGAAAATAACGATTAGAATATTCAACGTGTCTTTATTTTCAAAGTGAAGCATCATGGGAAACTGACTTCTTTTCCTACACTTCTTTTTTTGTTTACTATGTTTATCTTTTGCATTTTATTTTTTATTATCTTTCAATTTTCGTCTATTTTTTTTCTCTGTCTGTGACACATGCTTTACTTTTTTTTTTCTTTTTCTTTACACAAGTCTCCTTAAGAATATAGAAATTTTCTATGTGTTCCTATATATGTCTATCTCTATCCATGTGCATCTTTTTATTAAATAATACCAGAAATACACGTAAAAATTTTACGGTTTTCCTATTTGAATTTTCTGATAACAAACTGATTTGTCTTTTACGGCTTATCAATCTCTTGTCGTTTATTTAAAGCCAGAAAATATTTGTAGTTTTAAGAATTGTTTTCAGATAATAATGATTTGCTGACACTTATATTGACAACAGTTGGTTCTTGTGTTCTCTTTAGGTTTTCTACAGAATTTATTAAATGTAAATCTCGTTTTGTATTTACAACCTTCTTTCATGTTTGAATATCTTTTCTTTCTGTTTTCGTGTTGTTTGACTAATTGTATCGCCCAGTTCTTTTTTGTTTCCATGTATGTTAGTAAGTCAATAGTTGTTGTCTTGTATGGCAATTCTAGCTGAATAAGATTTCTTCCACCTTCTTTACGGGGTATGTGTAGACGGTCTACATCAGCCTTTGAGTGATGCATGTTATTCTTAGAAAGAAGATTTCTTGTCTTAGAATCCATTCGTCTGATATCATTTAGAGTCCAGTTCAAGATGTTGAAACTATATTGAACCACTGGGATGACAAGGCTATTAATGGCCATAACTCTGCTCTGAGAATTCAATTCAGGTCTTAATATCAGTCTCACCCTTTTATAGTACTCTTTTCGTATTATTTCCTTCATTTTTTATGATGAATTCCTTTACTTACATTTATACCTAGGTATTCATAAGCTTCTTCTTGCTCTAAATCTTTGATTGTTACCCCAGTGTCCAAACAAATAGAGGAGGTTTGTTGTAGTGATCCTCGTAAAATTGTGGCTCTAGCACATTTATCTAAACCGAATTCTATTCTAATGTCATCACTGAAATGTTTTACTGTTTTCAGAAGACCTTCTAGTTCACTGCCATTCCTAGCATATAACTTTATTTATGTAAAACTAATGGCTTATTTTCTTTTGAGATATACCAGAGCCATATTCCGTCTTGTTAAGTTCTCTGGTTAATTCTATTAGGGATATACAACATACAAAAAGTCACCTTGAAATATTCTTCAACACATCAAGTATCTTGCTAAGGTAGTACTCCTCTAAGTCAAGAGGGTGGCTGCTGGAAGACTCTATGTCAGGCAACAGGACTCTGATCCATGCCACACAAGCAAGAGAAACCAATCATGGCTGTCAGACAATTTCTGCGACCATATTACCACTTACATCTGGCCATCTAACTCCCCAGACTGCAAACACCTTGATTATTATGTGTGAGGTGCAGTTGAGTGAGAGACCAACAAAACTCCTTGTAACACCAAAGATGAACTAAAGACTAGGATTATGGCAGCATTCACAACGTTAAACAAGGAGATCGTCCAGAAGTGTTGCAGGAGATTCCAAAATTGTCTGGAGTCCGTGGTTGAAGCCAATGGTAATTTTATTGAATAAATTTACTCTTTATTATTTGCAGATATTTTTTGTGTAATTTTGGTAAATATTTCTGTTAAAACGAGATGGCGGTGTTATTTTCATTTTCGCTTCATTTGGACGCCAATTTGTCAATCGCACACTGTATATGTCAGTTCCTAGAAAGAAAGAAAGAAAGAAAGAAAGAAAAAGTAGATATAGAAAGCGATATCGTCCTCGTTCGTTTAAATTCTGCATTAGTGAAATCGTATAGTAATATGAAATATACCAGCCCACAACTTTTATACGAACAATTTTTCGCTTCTACTCCTTGCTCATAGAACTCACTTCCGGCTTCGGGTTTAACAATTAACTTGGATCTTCAAAAAAGTATAAATGCCATGTTAATCGTTAGCTTCTGTTTATTTAATTCTTGTACTTTTATTCTCCTCATGCCTTAATTATGGCTTCCTTTTCTCGGAATATTTTACACTCCTTGCGTCTTAGTGGCGTCATCCCCTTGCTTGGTGTGAAATGATTAAAAGTAAATGACTAATATAATGACACTAGAAATTATTTACTATATTGTGCATTATATTACTGTCGAAATACTGTTGTCATAACGTCTGAATTTATTCCACTAATACATCAAAAGATTCGTTGGAATTTGCTGCAACCTTTCTGGTCAAACATTCAATAGGCAAACATTTGCATTTTATTGCCACAGCGCATCGACTTTACTCATACTCACCCGTTTTCTTGAATTTTTTTATGCTGGTAAAAAGGAAGAACTGAAGAATGGAGAAATTGAAAGAGATTAAAGAAGCAAACATCTGGATTAAAAAAAAAAATTGAATTTGGATTCAAACCAACAGGAAATGGTTTTTGTCATTGATCAGGCATTACTTTAATTACATTCCCCACCATCCTCTCATTCATTCAGTTACTTTTTCATTCCCTCACCATTTCATTCATTTTCTTACTATTTTATTCTCTCATCATCCCTTTCATCCCTCTATTCATTCACTTTCTCACTATTTTATTCATTTCCCCCATCCTCCTCTCATTCATTCAGTTTCACTCTTTCATTTTATTCCTCACCATTTCATTCATTTTCTAACTATTTTATTCTCTCATCATCCCATTCATTCACTTTAATTTCATTCCCCCCCATCCTCTCATTCATTCAGTTACTCTTTCATTCCCTCACCATTTCATTCATTTTCTTAATATTTTATTCTCTCATCATCCCATTCATTCACTTTTTAATTTAATTCCCCATCCTCTCATTTTCAATTTACCCATTCCTCTCCATTTCATTCATTTTCTAACTATTTCATTCCCTCATTCCCTCACCCCATTTCATTAATTTTCCCCCATCCTCTATTTTCATTCTCTCATTTCCTCATCCATTTCATCCCTTAATATTTTATTCTCTCATCATCCCATTCATTCACTCCCAATTTCATTCCCCCATCCTCTCATTCATTCAGTTACTCTTTCATTCCCTCACCATTTCATTCATTTTTCTTACTATTTTATTCTCTCATCATCCCATTCATTCACTTTAATTTAATTCCCCATCCTCTCATTCATTCAGTTACTCTTTCATTCCCCTCACCATTTCATTCATTTTCTTTACTATTTTTTCTCTCATCATCCCATTCATTCACTTTTTTATTCTCTCATTTTCATTCCCCATCCTCTCATTCATTCAGTTACTCTTTCATTCCCTCACCATTTCATTCATTTTCTTAATATTTTATTCTCTCATCATCCCATTCATTCCTCTCATTTTCAGTTACTCTTTTCATTTCCCCACCATTTCAATTTTTTAATCCCCATCCTCTCATTCATTCATTAATTCTTTTCATCCCTTTCATTTTCCATTTCATTAATTTTCTATTCATTTCTTAATATTTTATTCTCTCATCATCCCATTCATTCACTTTAATTTAATTCCCCCCATCCTCTCATTCATTCAGTTACTCTTTCATTCCCTCACCATTTCATTAATTTTCTAACTATTTTATTCTCTCATCATCCCATTCATTCACTTTAATTTCATTCCCCCCATCCTCTCATTCATTCAGTTACTCTTTCATTCCCTCACCATTTCATTCATTTTCTTACTATTTTATTCTCTCATCATCCCATTCATTCACTTTAATTTCATTATCCTCTCATTCATTCAGTTACTCTTTCATTCCCTCACCATTTCATTCATTTTCTTCCTATTTTATTCTCTCATCATCCCATTCATTCACTTTAATATCATTCCCCCCATCCTCTCATTCATTCAGTTACTCTTTCATTCCCTCACCATTTCATTCATTTTCTTCCTATTTTATTCTCTCATCATCCCATTCATTCACTTTAATATCATTCCCCCCATCCTCTCATTCATTCAGTTACTCTTTTCATTCCCTCACCATTTCATTCATTTTCTTAATTATTTTATTCTCTCTCATCATCCCATTCATTCACTTTTTAATTTAATTCCCCCATCCTCTCATTCATTCAGTTACTCTTTCATTCCCCTCACCATTTCATTCATTTTCTTACTATTTTATTCTCTCATCATCCCATTCATTCACTTTAATCCTCTCATTCCCCATCCTCTCATTCATTCAGTTCCTCTTCATTCATTCTTTCATTCCCTCACCATTTCATTTTTTCTTACTATTTTATTCTCTCATCATCCCATTCATTCATTAAATTTAATTCCCCCATCCTCTCATTCATTCAGTTACTCTTTCATTCCTCACCATTTCATTCATTTTCTTACTATTTTATTCTCTCATCATCCCATTCATTCACTTTAAATTCATTCCCCCATCCTCTCATTCATTCAGTTACTTTCTTTTTTTCATTTTATTCCCATCACCCATTTCATTCATTTTTCTTACTATTTTATTCTCTCATCATCCCATTCATTCACTTTAATTTCATTCCCTCATCCTCTCATTCATTCATTTCATCATCCCATCTTTCATTCCCATTCAGTTACTCACCATTTCATTTTCATTTTTATTCTCTCATCATTCATTCCACTTATTTTATTCTTCTTCCTTTCATCCCATTCATTTCATTTTCTTTAATTATTCTCATTCCCCCATCCTCTCATTCATTCAGTTACTCTTTCATTCCCTCACCATTTCATTCATTTTCTTATTTTTATTCTCTCATCATCCCATTCATTCACTTTAATTTCATTCTTTCATTCATTCATTACTCTTTTCATTCCTCACCATTTCATTCATTTTCTTACTATTTTATTCTCTCATCATCCCATTCATTCCTTTTGTTTTCCTTCATTCATTCTTACTCTTTCATTCCTCACCATTTCATTCATTTTTTCTTTTTCTATTTTATTCTCATCCCATCCCATTCTTCATTCATTTCCCTCACCATTTCATTCATTTTCCCCAATCATCTTCATTCATTTTAATATCATTTTCCCATTCAGTTTTTTTCATCCCTCACCATTTCATTCATTTTCTTACTATTTTATTCTCTCATCATCCCATTCATTCACTTTAATTTCATTCCCCATCCTCTCATTCATTCAGTTACTTTTTTCATTCCTCACCATTTCCCATTCATTTTCTTCCCCATTTTTCTCTCATCATCATCCTTCCTATTTTATTCATTCCCATTCTTTAATTTCATTTCCCCCATCCTTTCTCATTCATTCATTTTTACTTCATTCCCATTAATATCTTTTCTCATTCCCTCACCCCATTCATTCATTTTTTTTTCTTACCCATTCATTCTTTTATTCTCATCATCATCCCATTTCATTCATTCTCTCATCATCCCATTCATTCATTCCCCCCATCCCTCATTCATTCAGTTACTCTTTCATTCCCTCACCATTTCATTCATTTTCTTACTATTTTATTCTCTCATCATCCCATTCATTCCACTTTTCATTCCCCCCATCCCCATTCCCAGTTACTCTTCTACTTATTTTATTCTCTCTCATCATCCCATTCATTCACTTTAATTTAATTCATCCTCCAGTTGCCAACCCTCATTTTCATTCAGTTTTCCTACTTTCTTTATCACCATCTTTCATTCCTCTCACCATTTCATTCATTTTCTTATTTTTTATTCTCTCCCCCATTCATTTTCATTTTCCCCCCATCATTCATTCATTTTCCTATTTTTGTTCTCTCATCATCCCATTCATTCACTTTTAATTTCTTTCTTTCATTTCCATTCACCATTTTCATTCATTTTTCTCTTATCTATTTTATTCTCTCATCATCCCATTCATTCATTCTTTTTCCTTTTTATTCCTCCATCCTCATCATTCATTCAGTTTTCACTCTTTCATTCCCTCACCATTTCATTTGTTCATTTTCTTACTATTTTATTCTCTTCATCATCCCATTCATTAACTTTAATTTAATTCCCCATCCTCTCATTCATTTTCAGTTACTCTTTCATTCCCCTCACCATTTCATTTATTTTCTTATTCTATTTTCATTCTCTCATCATCCCATTCATTCCCTCACCATTTTCACAATCATTCCCCATTTCATTCCCCCATCCTCTCATTCATTCAGTTACTCTTTTCATTTTCTTTATTTTTATTCCTCACCATTTCATTCATTTTCTTACTATTTTATTCTCTCATCATCCCATTCATTAACTTTTTCCTAATTTCATTCCCCCCATTCTCATTCATTCAGTTATCCTCTTTCATTCCTCACCATTTCATTTCATTTTCTTACTATTTTATTCTCTCATCATCCCATTCATTAACTTTAATTTCATTCCCCCATCATCTCTCATTCATTCAGTTACTCTTTCATTCCCTCACCATTTTCATTTTCATTTTCTTATCCCTTATTCTCTCCTCTCATCATCCCATTCATTTCATTCATTTTCTTTAATTTCATTCCCCATCCTCTCATTCATTCAGTTATTTCTTTACTTTTCATTCCCTCACCATTTCATTCATTTTCTTACTATTTTATTCTCTCATCATCCCATTCATTAACTTTAATTTCATTCCCCATCCTCTCATTCATTCAGTTACTCTTTCATTCCCTCACCATTTCATTCATTTTTTCATTTTATTCATTTTCATTAACTTTAACATTCCCCCATTCTCATTCATTCTTACTCTTTCATCATCCCATTTTCTTACTATTTTATTCTCTTCATCCCATTCATTCCCCCCATTCTCTCATTCATTCAGTTATTCTTTTCATTCCCTCACCATTTCATTCATTTTCTTACTATTTTATTCTCTCATCATCCCATTCATTCAACTTTATTAATTTCATTCCCCCATCCTCTCATTCATTTCAGTTTTACTCTTTCATTCCCCTCATTTCATTTATTTTCTTTTATTCTTTTTCTTATTTTTATTCTCTCATCATCCCATTCATTCCTTTAATTTCATTTCCCCATCCTCTCATTCATTCAGTTACTCTTTCATTCTCTCACCATTTCATTCATTTTTCTTACTTTTTATTCTCTCATCATCCCGTTCATTAAATTTAATTTCATTCCCCCCATCCTCTCATTCATTCAGTTACTCTTTCATTCCCTCACCATTTCATTCATTTTCTTACTATTTTATTCTCTCATCATCCCATTCATTCACTTTAATTTCATTCCCCCCATCCTCTCATTCATTCAGTTACTCTTTCATTCCCTCACCATTTCATTCATTTTCTTACTATTTTATTCTCTCATCATCCCATTCATTAACATTAATTTCATTTCCCCCTATCCTCTCATTCATTTCAGTTTTTAGCCTTCTCTTTCATTTCCATTTTTACCCTATTTTATTCTCATCATCCCATTTCATTCATTCCCCATTCTCATTCATTCTTACTTTTTCATTCTTCATTTTCATTTTATTCTTCATCATCCATTCACTTATTCTCATTCATTCTTTATTATTTTTCATTTTCTTACCCCATCCTCTCATTCATTCTCATTTTCACTCTTTTCATTCCCTCACCATTTCATTCATTTTTCTCTTACTATTTTATTCTCTCATCATCCCATTCATTAATTCATTTTCTTCTCATTTATTTCTCATTCCCATCATTCTCTCATTCATTCATTCCATTATTTTATTCATTCCCTCACCATTTCATTCATTTTCTTACTATTTTATTCTCTCATCATCCCATTCATTAACTTTAATTTCATTCCCCCCCATTCTCTCATTCATTCAGTTACTCTTTCATTCCCTCACCATTTCATTCATTTTCATTCATTTTTCATCATCCATTCATTCATTTTATTCTCCTCTCATCATTCCTCTTTCATTAACCATTTCATTCATTTTCTTACTATTTCTCTCATCATCCCATTCATTCATTCATTCATCCTCTCATTCATTCACTCTTTTCATTCCCTCACCATTTCATTCATTTTCTTACTATTTTATTCTCTCATCATCCCATTCATTAACATTAATTTCATTCCCCCCATCCTCTCATTCATTCAGTTACTCTTTCATTCCCTCACCATTTCATTCATTTTCTTACTATTTTATTCTCTCATCATCCCATTCATTCACTTTAATTTCATTCCCCCCATCCTCTCATTCATTCAGTTTATTTTCTCTTTTCATTCCCTCACCATTTCATTCATTTTCTTACTATTTTATTCTCTCATCATCCCATTCATTAACTTTAATTTCATTCCCCCCATCCTCTCATTCATTCAGTTACTCTTTCATTCCCTCACCATTTCATTCATTTTCTTACTATTTTATTCTCTCATCATCCCATTCATTAACATTAATTTCATTCCCCCCATCCTCTCATTCATTCAGTTACTTTTTTTCATTCCCTCACCATTTCATTCATTTTCTTACTATTTTATTCTCTCATCATCCCATTCATTAACTTTAATTTCATTCCCCCCATCCTCTCATTCATTCAGTTACTCTTTCATTCTCTCACCATTTCATTCATTTTCTTACTATTTTATTCTCTCATCATCCCGTTCATTAAATTTAATTTCATTCCCCCCATCCTCTCATTCATTCAGTTACTCTTTCATTCTCTCACCATTTCATTCATTTTCTTACTATTTTATTCTCTCATCATCCCATTCATTAACTTTAATTTCATTCCCCCCATCCTCTCATTCATTCAGTTACTCTTTCATTCCCTCACCATTTCATTCATTTTCTTACTATTTTATTCTCTCATCATCCCATTCATTCACTTTAATTTCATTCCCCCCATCCTCTCATTCATTCAGTTACTCTTTCATTCCTCTCCATTTCATTTATTTTCTTACTATTTTATTCTGTCATCATCCCATTCATTAACATTAATTTTTCATTCCCCATCCTCTCATTCATTCAGTTACTCTTTCATTCCTCACCATTTCATTCATTTTCTTACTACTTTATTCTTTCATCATCCCATTCATTCACTTTAATTTCATTCCCCCCATCCTCTCATTCATTCAGTTACTCTTTCATTCCCTCACCATTTCATTCATTTTCTTACTATTTTACTCTCTTTTCATTCTCTTTCATCCCCCATCCTCTCATTCATTCACTTTTCATTCCCTCACCATTTCATTCATTTTCCCCTCATCATCCCATTCATTCACATTAATTTCTCCTCTCATTCATTCAGTTACTCTTTCATTCCCTCACCATTTCATTCATTTTCTTACTATTTTATTCTCTCATCATCCCATTCATTAACTTTAATTTCATTCCCCCCATCCTCTCATTCATTCAGTTACTCTTTCATTCCCTCACCATTTCATTCATTTTCTTACTATTTTATTCTCTCATCATCCCATTCATTAACATTAATTTCATTCCCCCCATCCTCTCATTCATTCAGTTACTCTTTCATTCCCTCACCATTTCATTCATTTTCTTACTATTTTATTCTCTCATCATCCCATTCATTAACTTTAATTTCATTCCCCCCATCCTCTCATTCATTCAGTTACTCTTTCATTCCCTCACCATTTCATTCATTTTCTTACTATTTTATTCTTTCATCATCCCATTCATTCACTTTAATTTCATTCCCCCCATCCTCTCATTCATTCAGTTACTCTTTCATTCCTCACCATTTCATTCATTTTTTCTTACTATTTTATTCTCTCATCATCCCATTCATTCACTTTAATTTCATTCCCCATCCTCTCATTCATTCAGTTACTCTTTCATTTTCCCTCACCATTTCATTTATTTTTTCTTACTATTTTATTCTCTCATCATCCCATTCATTAACTTTTTATTCTCTCAATTTAATTCCCCCCATTCTCTCATTCATTCAGTTACTCTTTCATTCCCTCACCATTTCATTCATTTTCTTACTATTTTATTCTCTCATCATCCCATTCATTCACTTTAATTTCATTCCCCACATCCTCATAGTCATTTTCTTATTCTTTAATTTTCATATCTTTTCAATTCCTCTCGTTTCTTTTTATTCACTTGCCTCTCATTCATTCTTTTATTACTTTGTTCCCTCCTGCTCTTATTCATTCTCTTACTCTTTCATTCCTTCACCTCTCCTTCATTTTTTTCTTTCATTCCCTCATCCTCTCATTCATTCAGTTTCTCTTTCATTCCTTCATCTTCTCTTTCATTCTCTTACTATTCCTTCATTTTTTATTCATTCTATTCATATTTTATTCCCTCGTATTCTCATTCATTCTCTTACTCTTTCATACCCTCACCCTCTCATTCATTCTCTTGCTATTTTATTGCCTCGTCCTCTCATTCATTTTCTTACACTTTTATTCCTTCATCTTCTCTTTCATTCTCTCATTATTTCACCCCTTCTTCCTTTCATTCATTCTTTTGATATCTTATTCCGTCGTACACTCATTCATTTTTGTACTCTTTCATTCCGTTATCCTCTCATTCATTAAGTTACTTTTTAATTCACTCATCTTCTCTTTCATTCTCTATTTATTCCATCATCCTCTAATTCATTCTCTATATCCTTCCCTCATCCTTTTATTCATTCTCTTAATCTTTCATTCTCTCATCCATTCACTCATTCTCTGACTCTTTCTTTCCCTTATCCTCTCATTCATTCTCTTAATATTTTCTTCCCTCATACTCTCATTGATTCAGTTTCTCTTTCATTTCACATCTTTTCTCTCTCTCTCTCTCTCTTCTTTTCATTCACTCATCCCTCACCCCGATCAACCTCACCAAATTTCCTCCTCCTCCATTTCTCTTCTTGCAAACTCACACTTTTCCAAAGAAGACATATCACTTCATTCCTAAAATTATTTTCTCTTCTTCCCTTTCTCTCTCAGAGGAATCCATTTTTTTTGATAACCCAGGTCACATGATAAAGCCGGCCTCAAATGACTGCTTCGAAAAAATTTGGTCAGATAACATTCTGGGAAAAAAAAACAAAACAAAAACTCTGTCATACCATTTGGAATTATCAATATAATTGTACTGGCTTTGAAATCTTCCCGAAACAGTGGAGGATATGGTAATTTCGAAGAGTGGGGTGACTTGAAACGGAGCTATAGCGACAAAACCAGAATTGTATGAACCGATCTTTAAAAACGATCTTAAAAAAAAAAAAAACAAACAAAAAAACAATACGCGCAATTAGTGTTTCATCGTTATAGGTCTGAGCTAACTAATGAATTAAAATTCGACATGATATTGTATTAAACCATACGGATAATCCCAAAGTAAACGACTTCTGAAAATCCTCTAACAAAAATGTGTGCCGGATACCTTCAGGACGTTGCCGATCATGACAGTAAAGACAAAATGAAGTTTCGCTATCTGAGAGACTTTATCAATGAACATTTTATTAGGATTTTATTCTGTGACAAGTATTTATATACATTTTTACTTATATCTGAATGTTTACACACACACGCATGCGCACACACACACACACACACACACACACACACACACACACACACATATATATGAAGAAAAATATACGGAAAAACAAACAAAAATCCTAATATGCAATTATGCTGTTTTAATGTTAATATAATGTCAACGTCGGACGTTTCGGTCTAGTAGACCATCTTCAGGACATATTCTACTAGATCGAAACGTCCGACATTGATATTATATTAACATTAAAACAGCATAATTGCATATTAGGATTTTTGTTTTTTTTTCCGTATATTTTTCTTCAGACTGTCGAATCTATATCCATATATTTGCTTACATATATATATATATATATATATATATATATATATATATATAAAACCGTTTTTATGTTTAACGTTCTTTTATAGATACAAGTATTTAAGTAAAAGAATGTTAAACATAAAAATGTCTTTAATAAATAAATTGTCGGACTTTGTCCATTTCTTAAAATATATATATATATATATATATATAGAGAGAGAGAGAGAGAGAGAGACAGAGAGACAGAGAAAGAGAGAGAGAGGGAGAGAGAGAGAGAGAAGCCGCAAACGTTTTTGGTTATAATGTGGATTTTTAAAATATATATTATACTTTATTTTCCATATTTTTTGCTACACGGGTTTCCAGTCTCGCACCCAATCCTCTTCTCAACTTTTTTTCCCATCTTAATAAAACAGACGTTAAACACTTCTATCTTCACTTTTTATTTATGTATTTATTTAAAAAAAAAAGAACTATCAAAATAAAAAAGGATCTTGAAATGAAAATCTCAAAAAATGTAGCTCATGAGGCTATCATGGGTTCTTGATAATGACTGCGAAAGTCGATGGTGATTGAGAAAAAATAACAAAATATGAACTTCGGAAAGTTTACCCGCCATTTTGAGCGCAATACTCAACACCTTGTCCAAAAATTGGAAAATATAAAATTACAGTCCTAGTCGGTTCTCAATCCAACTAGTTTGTGTTTGTGTGTGTGTATATCTATTATATATTATTCCTCTGATTCAATAATTTAGGGTTGTTTCAATTTTCTAGGATTTTTCAGCAGGACAAAGACAATTGTCGCCTTATCCGTTAAAAGCCTTAGCTTTAGAAACAATTTCCCAGTTAATAGATGGTGAAATTCACTTATCGTTCAATTGGGAGAAATATTTAGAGAGAGCAGTACTATGTTTATATTTCACGTTTTTAAGGTCATTTTTTGATGGTAAAAACACAATTTCCAAGCGTTTTGAGCGGAAAGAAAGCAGAATTTAACACTGTTACCGGAATTTATGTTCGCTCGGTATATAATACTGTCGCTCGTACATTGACCCTTTTAGTGGGCATATCGTATTTCTTCGGTAGTTACTTACAGAGATATTGTAATTATATTTGGAAAAACGTTTCTTTAATATAAAAAATTGTTTTGGTAGGAGATGGCTGCGTCTATGTTATTAACACATGAATAGCTAATTTTAAAATTGTTCAGATTAAAATGCCGCTGGTTGAAGTACTTATTAAATTTAGAAAAAAATTAAATACCTGCACTATATGTACGGTATGTTTTAAATCTATTACCATATATCGATATCCATCTCTCTCTCTCTCTCTCTCTCTCTTTTCTCTCTCTCTCTATCTCTCTCTCCCCTCTACATATATATATATATATATATATATATATATATATATATATATATATATATAAGTATAGGGTTAGGTAAATGAGATAAAACTAGATATTAGCGAGCGTATACGCGTGTGCTGGCGTCCATACGTTGTAAAGCAAATAAATAATTAACCAAGAGGTGGAGACAGAATAGTGCTCAATGTGATTAGACAGAGCTAAAAAATATATGTTAATAAATACACATATACCTACATTTGATCTGCGACTCGAGTTTTGTTGGTTATCCAACTCATCAGTCACGAGATATAACCTTATATAACACTATTGGAATCTACTTTGAGCAATAAGAATGTATAATTACTCTATAATCTTAACAGAAGAATCGTGATGAAATCGATCATAAGCGAAAATGACATGTTCATTATTAATTAATCATATCTAAAGATCGGAAGTTCATGAAGGATTGAGATGAAGTTCAAATATATATATATATATATATATATATATATATATATATATATATATATTCCAAGATTATTTTCCAACTTATTCAAGATGATCTTTGTCTTATCTAACCTTCTAAGTACGATTACATGTTCAAGTCTATTTTTACTCCTCTTTGAACTGTCATAGCTGAAACTACTCTCTCATGTGCCAAACGTCTTATGGATCATTTTCTATCTCTTTAGCTCGAAGTTAAAATGATGATCCATCTTCCTGTTGTGTCCTCCTGATCCAGTTTTCCTCTCTGCTGTTCCCTTTTCTTAAAATTTATTCACCGTTTTCTTGATGATTCTTGAATGGACTTTGAAGATGGAAGACAGAGTATGAATGTTGGTACCATTACTGAAGGTCCAAATTATCTTTTTCCTCTTACCATTGCTCAGTTGGGAAGAAAACGATTTTAACCTCTTCTCTTTCTAGCTGATTAACTCAAAGAGTTTTTCAGTGTTTCTTACAACAGCTGGTGTCATGATGGCTAAACGTCTTATGTAAAAACCTGGAAAAAAAAAGGAACCAAATTAGTTTATTGTTTTTTTCATAGATATTATACATTTTGTGGGATGGATAATTATGCTGTAACACGATTTGGACAATTTTGCTGTCACACCCGATATATATATATATATGTATGTATGTATATATGTACTCATACATAATATTGCTTCTGTAACTGTTGTTAACTTGCTGGCTTTATTCAGGTTGTTTCGTGAAAAGGGAAGATATGCATACGTAGAAATATATGGTCCTGATCATTTTCCAACTTATTCAAGATGATCTTCGCCCTCTCTAACCTTCTAACTTTCTGTCTTGGAGTAACAAGGTGCCTCACAGGTTTCACACACGATTTCATTTTCAAGTTTTTTTTCATAGCTATTTGGACTTTCATAGCTGTAACTTCTTTCTCACATGTCAAACGTCTTATGAGTTGGCTTGGATCTTTTCAGATCTCTTTAGCTCTAGCTAATCCAGATAATAACACGACTATCCAGTTCACATGATGATTCTATTGTGAGATCTTGATCCACTTTTCCTCTCTACATTTCCCTCTTTTAAAAATTTATTCACCATTCTCTTGGAGGTTCTTGAACAGACTTTGAAGATGGAAGCCAGAGTATGAATGTTGATCCCATTACTCTCACCTTTGCCCAGTTGGGAAGACATAGTGGGGCTGACACAAAACCATTTTATCCTGTTCTCTTTCTAGCTGAATAACTCAAAGGATTTTTCAGTGATTCTGACAACAAATGGCGTGAAGATGGCTAAAGAGCTTATCTGAAAACCTGGAAAAAAGAAAATCAATTAGTTTAGTGTTTTTTTGTTTTTTCAGACATTAAAAAATTTGTGGGATTAATAATTATGTTGTTATACAATTTGGACAATTTTGCTGTTACAACCGGTATATTAGATCGTAAGAATTGTTTTTGGAGAGAACAACGGAATATATTTAGAATGTTAGAATTTTTTGTTATGGGGTGGGGGAAATAATAATGGTTTAGTGATACAAGTTTTACTAATTAAGACATAGCTCGGGGTTAAAAATGAATTCATACTTTTCTCAAGTGCAGCTAATTAAGTTAAGCCTATATTATGGAAATTTGAATTTAAATTGATTAGTTACTCTATTTCCATAATATTCCCTCCCCTCTAACTCTTCAAATATAACTACTGTATTTGACGGCATATAAGGCGCACTTTTTTTTTTTTTTACTAATAAATATCTTTTAAAATTCCCCTGCGTCTTATATGCCATATGTCGGTTGTATTGGTATAAATACAATCAGAATTTTTATATCCTAATTATTCCAATAAGACGTTTACGTAGATCGAATCTACGCTCTGCTAACGAAAAAAAAAAGAAAGAAAGAAAGAAAGAAAAGGGTAGCACGAGGCGGTGTAATGGTTAGCAAGCTTGCCTCACTAAAACAATTACGACTGATTAGTGAGTTCGATCCTCAGTGGGTGCCCCCTACTTTCGGCCTTGTGCCACACCTAAGTGTTGAGATGTTGTGCGTTTACCGCGTGTCGGTGTATGAATCAAGACAAACACAGTTGTAGAGGAAAATACTGGTATATTCATAAAAGCAATTAACAATAGAGTGATTAGTAGAACGAAGGTTGGTTAGTACGAAACAATATCCAAAGTCTATAGTCCAACGGTATGTACCGAGTAAGCTTATCTGGACTGCTCACGCTGACTCTCTCTCTCTCTGACGCTCCCCTCACTCTCTCCAGAGCTGACTTATATAAGAGGGACCAGTCCATTACTAGTTAGAAGGTGGGTGCGCCCCAACACTAAGCTACACTTGGAGAATAACTATTTGTG